GCGCTAGCTTCGGTAATATAATATATTAATTAATTCTTAATTATTAGTGATCGAATTAATTAATGAACATTATATCTTAAACATGGGGAGGTAAATCGGATAATTATAATAAAGGAGTCTCAAATGTAATTTGGGAGAGGTGAGAGTAGTGCAATAATATTATTGTGGTGGACTTTGATATTATTAATATATTAATTGTGGGGTTGCTCCACAGTATTAATATATTAGAAGCCCTTATCCTATTCTCCTTAGGGTCCCTTCTGTAGCTCTATATATACAGCATTAGGCTCATGGAAGAAGAACAATCTCATATCCTTGGGAATTGTGTCCGCCCCCTCTCTCTCTCTTCCAAGGAGTAGTTCTATTTCTTGTGCTCCACTGATACAAGATCTAGATAGCTGTTTGAGAATACAATAGAAGATCTTAAGGTATATACGGGATTCCAATCAGATCTATCATACATCCAAACCGGAGACCAAAGCCAGCAAGTGACCATACCACGACGACCAGGACGCGAGACGAAGAGATCGCCGTCGAGATCGCCGCCAGCCGCCGCCGCACGCGCCGCCACGTGCAACCGGAAGGGAGCAACTGCCGGAGCTTACACGAGCGCGTGAGAGCGCGTGAGACCTCCGATTTCTGATCGGTCAACGCCGTTGACTTCGCCGTGACGTCAGCTTTCTGGATTGGTCAAGTTTGTTCGATTCCGAGAAGATTTGGTTTGCGGTCAACTGTTCGGGCAAGCCAGATCTACATAAATTTTAAGCAGTAAGTTTTCTTCATCAAACCTTTAGATCCGCTGCGCATATGTTTATGTTGAATGTTTGTCCGTGATTTGTGCATATCGAGATCCTCATATGTCCCAACACACATCGCATGTATATCTGATGATAATATACACAATATATTCATTTATAATTAACATATATTTATCAAATGTGCTATAAATTACAAATTTGACATATGTATCAAATTCAAATATAATCACTTTTATTAAATTACAATCAGCCCCTTAGAGTTATTTATTAATTTCTCCAATTTTGCCCTAATTCCCAAATATGTCTTGATCATCATCCCCACCACTTCACCGGCACTGTTCAGCCGTCTCCGGCCGGGACCTCCGACGTAAACGTGTTCAGGGGTTTTAGTCGTTCATCCTGTAGCTTGTCCGCCACCACCGGAACTCTGGCGCCAACTTCCAGCGGGGTGGGTGAAATCGACCGCCGATGGAGATGGATGGAGAACGACAGTGATGGAGCTCCAGACGATGGACCAACGACGGCGAAGTGTGCGCATGAATTAAAGCTCCGCAACGGCTGATGCACAGGGCGACGGATACCAGTTGCAGAATTTTGATTGAGACTCGTTGTTGAGGACTTTGAGGTGGATGACGACAGTGGATTGGAGCTCTAGCACGGGCGGCGGCGCGGCGGCCCGACGGAGGTTTGGCGACGGCTAAACCGTCGGTCAGGCGTGACACCACCGGGAATCGGGCAGCCGGTGATGGGCTGTTTCATCTTCCTCCTGTGTTGTGCGCGTGTATTTTTTTTGTGTGTGTAATGTCTGCTGCGTGTCTTGACTGAGTTGTGTGTGTGTTAAGTGTGTGAGAGAAAGTGGTGTGAATGAAATGTATGATGTGTTTTAACCACGTTGTATAAAATAATGGCCAAAGGGGGCACACATACGCTGATGGGTCTGCTCTCAGATCTGGAACGGTTTGGTAAGAAAACGTCCGGATCTGGGATGAACCGGTATGAACGAGCTTAGATTTGGCCTGATGACCTTCGAGCCGTTGCTGAATCGTACGAACACCTGCAAGAACTCAACGCCGGAGGGTTTTTCCGGCGTAGAGCCTCCGACGCTCAAGTCAGTATGTGAGAGAGATGATGGGAGCCGCTATCAGAGCAGCAGCAGTAATAGAAATGTATGGAAATGAATGGGGGTTAGGGTTTTGGGATTACCTCAGTCCTTTATATAGGAGTACAATATATACCTGAAGTCCCCAAAATGCCCTGGCCGACTTAAGGGAAATGTCCAGAATACCCCGGTCGGTTCATATTCAGCCTACTTCCTAGTCAGCATCTAGATCCTTCCTTAGCTTCCTTCTTATCCTTAACTTTCCTTCAATATGTAACACCCCGCTCCATGATATACCAGAGTACGCGTATTTTTCGCAAATCTTCTAAGTAAACAAACTGACTTTTAATTTGCGAAACTGATTCGGGGGTTACCGTGAAAAACATGACTTTTGAAAACCGTTAGAATTTAAATCTGAAACATGAAACGGTTATAATTTATTATCCGACTGGTGTCGGAACAAAGTCTGAAGTTTTAGCGGAAGTCTTAGCGTGGCAAAATAACATGAAAGTCTGATAAAAGTTCTGAAAAGTTTTTAACGTTCATCAAATACAACCCACATAACAAATATCCTGAAAGTCCTGAATAGCCCGTCCCGCTCACTGCCCATCCCCGACCCTGCCTCCTGAAAACATGATAAATGTGGGGCGTGAGCACTAAGGCACTGTGCTCCGCAGAAA